CACATCATTGTCTTGGAAGCAAAGTGGTTACAGACTGGAATGGCGTGTATGGTCAAATATACGGTTGGAAGGCGATTTATTACAATAGTTCCTTTCTTCAGAGCGTCTTCATCGATGCTCTTTGTGATAACTTCTGCTTTGACCATCTCAAGGTAGTCGGGTGCATTGTAACCACATATGAGCTAGGAACAAACATTCCTCTGTTACCTCTAGGAGACCCTCAATTTCATTAATTATCTTAAGTGAAAACTGCGGTGTAAATATTTGTCTCATTTTATGGGCGGTTTGCTTATGTTCAACAGCGTATGCGTTTTGGTCCATCCCAGTCACCTAACTGTGCTACTCAATAACCACTTGCAACATAGAGAGGTACCAAGTTTTTCTATTCTTTAAACAAGCCTTTTATGATCGTTCTTAATCAATCATCACAATGTATGCAGAACTCGAAATTACTTAATAAACGTAATGCGATTTTCAAAGTCTCATTCTCACAATCACATCACGATCTGAAAGTGTGATGGGTGAATTCTTAAATTCCCGCTGGTCCCAGTAATGGATGTTCATGAGGTATTTCCCGACTAAAGAAAACTACATGGTGTTTTTCACATCAGGCACATATTCCGAATTCTTCCAACTTGACTCAATATCAGACTGAGTACTTTCTCTTTCCTATTTGCAATGGGATCACCTGACACCTTCCGTACCTTGCAGGCCGAATCCGCCACCCGTGACTTCAACGACAATACACACGACGATTCAACGGGCTCACGCCGGACGAACCCACTGGCTGGTGGTGGGATTTTTGGGAGCTCAGCACAATTGGAGCGTCGAAAATCGACCATGGGATCACAGGGGGTTGCAGGCTTAGTAGAGGGTCTTGGAGGTCGCGCTGGTGGCTCTCTCAGTACCGCTCTTGCTGCTACCTCGTCAGCTATGTCTGCCACTTTGGTATGTTAAGTTTCGTATCCCTATATGTTGCAATGGAATCGGAGTGTGGGGCTAAAATCAACCCTGTGGATGCTATCAACACAGCGCTTGAGTTCCGGGTACTTACCAGGAACTCTTCTGCCACGAGTCTGCAGATTCGCTTGTTAACAATGTCTTATTGTACTGTTGAAGCGTACCATTCAGCCAATGAAATCAGGATGGTTGTGAGCGGGTGACGGAAGTTCCGCCTAATCTGTCACTAATATTAGCTCTGGAGTTCTCTTCCGCCATAAAGGCATTAAAAGGCATAAGCATGGCCGAGAGCTCGTGTATCAGCGTCACTAGTCTGAGGACTGAGTCGTAGGAGACTGGAAGGACCCATTTAACTAGACATGGAATTTAAGGAATTGTAGGCGTTTTAAGATATAATTGATTTGTTGCGGTCGTTCAGAAAAAAAAAGATTAAACTGCTGGCTTGTGATTAAGTGATTAACGACGGCTGACGAGAAAACATGGTTCAAACTCTGAGAGGTCAAATAGGTGACATCTCTGACTCTCACATTCAATCCCATTCACGAGGCCCTAAAACGACGAGGTTCGTAATTTTCTTTGTCGTGAAACGTACAATTACTGGTGGATAGGCAACTTTGAATAGTGACTAAAGAATACACAGCACATCAGTCGGTGGTGTGTTAGAGTTGTTTGTTCTAAAAGACGGTTTTAATTTCAAAAATGAGCCAAAAACGCAGGTGTCTCGATCTGGGGGTCAAGTGAAATCCATTGTAGATGAACTTTGATTCTACAATTCAAATCCGTCTGCAAATTGACACCTGACCACTTTACTCAAGCAAAAAAGGGCTGTTCAATTTACAGAGCTTATAATTGCAAGTTTCCTGTCTGACGCGCCGTTCAGCCATTAGAGCTAAGCAGCAAAAGCAGCGTTTCGTAGTGGCTTGGTCGATTTTTCATCACCTACCGGCCTTTATTTTCCACCTCAAGCATAAACAATTCAATATTAAGATGTCAAATTAACGTTGTCAGTGGTTCGTGTGTGCTCCATGATTGGGTGACTGATTGATGATCCACCACCGCTTGCTCGAGACCGACCAAACCGCTGACTAAGAGCATTTTCAACGCTGAGCTGCAGTATGACGTTCCTTCCAGTTACCTTGAGAAGACGTTTTAGCTCCACTGCGACTTCATTCCTTCCCCTTTACTCAGACGCGGATAATGAGCAGCGCGTCTACTTCCTCTAAAGTAGCGCCACCCTATTTATGTCATGAGATTCTCGTAATTTAAGTCACTCGTCTACTGCCAGTGCTGCCACTGCAGAGGCTCAAAGTAGTGATTCTTAATAGCCCAGTAATCTGATAGAATATGGTTTACTTTAGAATTTTTTGAAGATTTTAAGTAATGTAAAAACGGTACTGGCTATAATAATCAACTTTTAATATTTCATTTGAGGTCCTAAAATCGCATAACCAGGCGGTGACGGACTACCATGGTTTTGGTTAAAGACAGGAAATAA